CACTCTCTCTCACACACTCTCTCTCAATTCAATGCAATTTTGTGGATGAATATTTCAAAGTCCTGATGCTGGATGTTGTTAGTCATGTTAGTCTGTTTTTGCAGCTTCAGGACCGTCTGAATCAGGGGACTTTTTTCAGGGTTCACTTCATGGTTTTTAAGGGCTTTAAGTTCTCTCTCTCTCTCTCTCTCTCTCTCTCTCTCTCTCACACTCACTCACTCACACTCTCCCCCCACGCGCACACACTCTCTCTCTCACGCACACTCTCTCTCACGCACACTCTCTCTCTCACGCACACTCTCTCTCACACGCACTCTCTCATTCACTCACTCACACGCACTCTCTCACTCACTCACACGCACTCTCTCACTCACACACACACACGCACACTCTCTCTCTCACACACACACGCACACTCTCTCTCTCACACACACACACACACACTGGATTCACAGAAATCAGTCTTTCTTTGGAAGAAATAACAGTTAGTTTGGAGTTTTCATAACCTAAGACTTTTTATGGACATAAATGCAAAACAAACAGGAGTACAGCTCTGACAGAATGAGGTACAAGTAGATGAGTGGGTGGAGTCATGCTGATTTTATCTGAACTGATTCGTTCCTAAATGAGATTTGATTCTTTTGTTTAGTTTTGGTGCTGTGGTTGAGTAGGTGTTTGCACATGAACATTTAGGTTCACATGTCGCAGACCAGCTCGTGCAGTGTTAGGTCTGGAGCCAGATATCGTTCTTCTCTTTGGTGTTTTTGGGCTCAGGTGCTCTCTGATCGGTCAGGAAGGTAACCGTGGCTAAAGAGGCGCAGGAGTCGTGTTTCTGACAGGTTTGAGTCGCTCGGTGTCATCAGTACACGTATGCAGCCTGGGAAAGCCCAAACAGTAGCGCACCTCATGCTGCACAATTCCAGGAACACTTCAAAGTGTGTGTGTTGTTTTTTCTGATGACAGTTTGCTTTCACGCATAAAATGCATTCTGAAAATTTTCCAGGTTTGCTGTGCTTGTTTATAGTGCTGCATAATTTGGCCAAAATTTTGTGGTTATATATTAATATGGTTATAAAATAGTTATGGTTATTAAATAAAAACAATTATTTTACGGTAAAATTAAAAACTACTATTTTAGAAAAATAATGTAATAATACTAATTTAACTTAATAATAATAATAATAATAATAATAATAGTGCAATTTATTTCTAAGTAAACATGACTAGATCGAAACAGTTCGTAGAAATATTTTACTGTAAAATAAAAACTATTTTAGAAAAATAATGTAGTAATACTAATTTCATTTTCCAATAATATTATTAATAATAATAATAATTATTATTATTATTAAATACAAATTACTAAATAAAATAAGACAAATATTTCACTGTAAAATAAAGTAGAATTTTGGAGAAATAATACACATTTTATTATTATTAACTTTAAGATTACAATACTAATATTTGTTTATTTGCATATGATTTAGCTGGTGTGATCTGATTGTCTGCACAGATTCAAGTTACTTCATTGCACAGTTAAATATCAAATATGTTCTGATTCGCCTGTGTTTGTTTGTCATGTGTAATGTCTGTCTTCCAGCTCACTTTTATCATTTGTTTTTATTTGATGTTTATATTTAGCTACTTTATATTTTTGTCACAGTGAATATAGCCGTAACATTAATAGCAAACTAGCTCCAGGTCAGCGTTACTCTCGTCACTGAAGAGCTTCGTTTGCGTGTCAATCACATGCTTCTGAATCAATAGGGAGGTCATGTGATTCCTCGTCAGACTGTGCCGTCTCGTTAGCGTGACGCTCTGCTGTTGGGTTGTTAAATCAAATCACGGATGTAACGTGTGTTCATGTGTCTCTGCGCTGCTGATTCTGCTTTTGTGTCTTTATTTGATTCATGTTGTTCACAAAGCGCCATGTGTTCGTTTCGCTCATTTCTCAGACTCTCAGTGCGGTGGATGATTGACAGGCGAGTGGGCGGGGCTTCACATCAGTGTGATGTCATCACAGCTTATCGTCTCTTTAATTGTAAATCTTCCTGGTAGTAGTTCTAGGGTTAGGGTTCTTCTGTATGAAAGGCATCTGAGGTATTTGCCGTCTCACGCACAGGAAACGCATCATCATCATGCGCTGATGGTTTCGGAGCTGCAGCTGTACAAAAGACAGATCACACATTCCTGTGACATCCCGCCCTGTTCACACCAGAGTGTGTGTGTGTTTGAGTGTGTGTTTGAGTGCGAGAGAGTGTGCGCGCGAGAGAGTGTGTGTGTGTGTGTGTGTGCAGATGAGTCACTCACACACACTCTCTCTCACACACGCACGCACTCTCACTCACACACACACACACTCTCATGCACTCTCTCACACACACGCAGACACACACACTCACACACATACACACTCTCTCATGGACACTCTCTCACACTCACTCACTCTCTCACACACTCACTCACTCACGCACACACACACACACTCTCTCTCTCTCAC